TGGTGATCTCCTTATCAAACCACAAAATTATATATTTTTTATTCACCAAACAGTTTGAGGTATTGAGTTAGCTACCATGTAGATAAGAAAACCTTTTACCTTCTCTCTTGGGTAATAATTAAACTTATTGGTAATTCTGATAAAGTAACCAAGGATATTTACCCTGTTCTACTCACTATAATGCTTCCAGAAAATGATTTTTCCCCCTTCACTGATTTTACACATTTAAGAAAAGTTACTGAATTGCAGATACACAACTAGTATCCCCAAACAGAAATGCAGGTCATTTTTAGAAGAAACCCATCTCACATGAAAGCACAGCCTTCTACATGGTCACATACACATCACACACACTTTACCCATAGGGAGAAAGTAGGTCATTCCTCATTTCTTATTTATTCCCGAGCACAATCAGACCACACTAGGAAACCATGTGAGACGCTTCAGAGCTACTGCAAGACACGAAAACCAAGACAACGAGCAGAACAAACACCACTGTCAACAGCAAACTCCAATGAGGTCTGGTTTAGATTTGATTTTATGTTAAGGGAAGCAGATTTACTCTGGTTTTTAATAATCATAAAAAACAGAAATCACAATGTATCAACTCAGCATCCTCCTACAAAGAGTCCAAAAAAGTCCAAGTTCTCCCTTATTCTCGCTCTTATTCCACCGACAATTTGAAAATAAAGAAAAAGAGTAGAAATAAAAAAAAGAGTGAGAAAGAACACAGAAATGAATTAAATAATTTCAAATGCTTATAAACATCACTGAGATTGCATTCGATCCATTAGGCTGACTTTCAGTTCTCACCACTAAGACCTTGCAAAGGAACTGGCATGGCTTTGCCTTCCAGGGTTGATCTAGAATGGAAGGGTGAGGTGTGTGTGAATGTGTGCGTGCTGCAAGTCCATTTTATAAACACTGACACAGGACAATTCTCACCATTGGTAATCGTATTGGGAGTTCAATCATGCAGAATAACAGGCAGGTGCATGTTAGGTCTTGTTGCAAGATAGACATGGCAATGTGAACAGTTTAATGCTAGATAAGGGTTGGGACATTTGTTTCCATTAGGATATACTGGCCATTGGTCCCACAGAATCAAAGGTTAGATATACAGAAGTCCATTTCGGCTTGACTGACCAAGGAAATGGGTCAAAGTAAATCATTTCAGACAGTGAGCAGACTATCTAAGTGCCCCCCCCCAATAACAAAATCTTATATTTTAATCACATGGAAAATAACTAATATAACTATTTACATTGTAACTTGTTTGTTGTTTTTACAGTAAGGAGTCCTGATGGTTTAATGATATCTGTGGAAAATGTTGGATTCTCACAATTAAAATGTGTGTGTGGGGTAAGAGGGGAGGATTGTGAGAAGGGGGTGGAATTTATCTTCAGACCCAAAGTGGTTGGGACCAAAGATTCCTGGAGCAATTTTATTTATTTGTCTGAGCTGTAAAAGATAAATTTTTCAGCAAAGCTGGCAGACAACATTCTTAATAAACTGCATTGCTTTTAAGATTTAAATTGTCATCTGTTAAAAGAATTAAAAAGGGTCTTAGCCAGTTTGGCTCAGTGGATAGAGGATCGGCCTGTGGATTGAAGGGTCCCAGGTTCGATTCTGGTCAAGGACACATACCACAGTTGCAGGCTCCTCCCTGGCCTGGGCCCTGGTCAGTACAGGAGACAACCAATCGATATGTTTCTCTCACATCGATGTTTCTCTCTCTTTCCCTCTCTCTTCCACTCTCTCTAAAATCAATGGAAAAGTAGTCTCGGGTGAAATTTAAAAAAAAAATAATTAAAAAGAAATAGATTTTTGTATAGTTTAGATTTTGCAATGAATATTTAAAATTTAAAAGTGAGTTTTGCCTCGACCCACCCACTCCCCCCAACCAGGTCATAGAGAGATTTATGTATTTTTATCTATTCCATTTATTCCACTTGTCAAGGTCTATTTTCTGTTACCAGTATCCTTAGGTAATGTTTTTCTGATAATGATAACAAATTGAGAAAACACTCCTGCCCCTTGGCCCTCAATTAAATAGCTCCCTCCAGTCGGAAGGTCTTGGCCAGGCCCTGGTCCACCTGGGGTATACATTCCCACAAAGCTCAGTCATCAGATTCTTGAAGATGCAAGGTCACTATTGGTTGTTATTCTACAAGAAGAAATTTGGTTGTAAGACCAATGTATCTTTTTTTTAAAAATGAACAGGCTGAATCACAAAATTTATATAAACATATCAATATGGTGGTGATTTTTGCCAAACTCTCCCAACAATTTAATTCCTCCTGCCTGTAGGCCCACAGCCATGCTTCCTACAAAATACAACAAAGCATTTCACTAAGACCTTGCAAAGAAACTGGCATGGTTTTGCCTTCCAGGGTTGATCTAGAACTGGAAGGGTGATGTGTGTATGAATGTGCGTGTGCTGCAAAACCAGTGCCTTATAGGAAGTGACAGGTTAAGTCTCTGAGTGCCAGCTACACACTCTGAAATGAACCCCAACCTTAGGTAGGACTTTCCCTTTTTTCAGGAACATAGTCCAGGTGACTTGATACTTCCCTGACTAAAAAGCAAGAGTGCTTTGGAAGTTACAGGTGACTGTATAGGAATTTTTTTAGGGGAAAAAAGGCTCAATGCCAAACATCCTATATAATAAAAGGCTAATATGCAAATCAACCGAATGGTGGAATGACTGGTCACTATGATGTGCACTGACCACCAGAAGGCAGATGCTCAATGCAGGAGCTGCCCCCTGGTGGTCAGTGCGCTCCCACAGAGGAAGTGCTGCTTAGCTAGAAGCTGGGCTTATGGCTGGCAAGCACAGCAGCGGTGGTGGGAGCCTCTCCTGCCTCCGTGACAGCACTAAGGATATTTGACTACCAACTTAGGCCCGCTCCCTATGGAGCCTAAGCCAGCAGTCGGACATCCACTGATGGCTCCCGGACTGCAAGAGGGTGCAGGCCAGGCTGAGGGACCCCCACGAGTACACAAATTTCATGCACCGGGCCTCTAGTAATATTATAATAAAGTAGACCCAACATCGTGAAGGGCCGGTGGGCTTTTGAAATAATTCTCTTTGTTGTCACATCACCTAGCTTGCTTTGATAACCTAGTGAAAATAATCCTATAAGCAGTGAAAAAGCCAAACTCTTAGTTCTATTTGTACATGAAACTTCAACTGATTCTATCTGTGCTTGTCCATAAGGGAGATCTGGCTAAAGGCAATCAGCTCCTAAGAGCCAGACAACAGGGAGATCAGCCTAGTCAAGTTTAGGGAAGGTAGTAATAGCAGGGGAGGGACATTACCTAGTTCTTGCCTGGCTTAATCTAAGTAAAAAAAAAAATCACTTCTGTGCAGATGAGGGACAGTCTACCTGCCAAGCACTTCTAAGATGCTGGCTGGAGACCTTCTGTCTTTTGATGTCATTTTGTGGCTGAATAAATTCCCCTTGTGACTCTTTCTTTCAAAGAGTGGCTTACTCTCTGCACTTAATCGCAAGTGCTAGAAAATCAGGAGGAGAGAGGCCACAGGTGAAGAGAAGAACACAAAGAAGACAAGTAAAGACTTAATGGGTACAAAGAAGAAACATTCTTTTTGTTTTTTTAAGGGGTTGGGGTGGGAGAGTGTAACAGAAGGAAAAATGAGAGTTTTTAAAATCAGGTTGTCTGCAATATTAACCAAAAACGATGGTAGCAAGACAGAGAAACTGGGCTACTTTTATTCTAGGGGACAAGCTGCATGGTCTAATGTTTTTTCTCCCCCTTTTAAACAAATGACCTCTTGTCCTGAATCCTACTGTGTGAAGCAATCCCATAAACGGCAGCACTGCTGCATAGTGACGGTGGGGGTGGATTCTATTGCTTGAAAAGAGACCAAGCTCCCCTAGTGTGTTTAAGGCAGTGGTCAGAGCACTGGCGTTCTTGCTGGCTCTCGTTTTGAAGAGATTCCACTTGCCAGCCAGTGCACACTCATCACCCATCTGTTTCATGTGTTTCACTTCTTCTTCAGGTGAAACATCACCACCTTGGTCCGCACCGAAATGGTCAGAGTGCACAGAGCTGTGCCGGTGAGCTCAGCCACGTACGAAGGGAAGCCTCGGCCGGCCTCCGGTATTGCTGAGAGTGACCCTGGCACTGCCCTGTGCCTAACCCAGGGGCCTCCCGCTGCCTCCTCGGGAGTCAGGAAGCACTTTCACTGAATGGGCGCTAAACTCAGGTGATTTTGCTAAACACGGACATCCATGCTTCATGGCTTTTCGGACAAACTGCTTTTGCTAAAGCTGTTTAGCAGCAGGAACTTGTGGGTGGAGTTATTGCTGTGGCATCACCTGCGGCACTAAACTCGAATGATTAACCCTTCTTGGATGGTTCCAATGGATGGAAATAAACAAATAGGAAGCATCAGCCATATTAAGGAGTGAGAAACAATGTCAGTGGAAATGTTTTCAAGTGCTAACCTGAAGATCACCCTGTGCTTTTGTGTGTTTTTTAAAGTCATTCTTATTTTTTTAATTCCAGAAGAGGAAAGTAATATTTCTTCTCAAAGGAAAACCTCGTCAGATTATAAGCCTGGGAAGTAACACACTCATGGAAAACACAACCCACAATGTGAGGGTGGTCTACGGAGGCTCGTGTTCTGAAGGACATCACACGGAGAGCAATTCCTAGGATCAGACACGTGCCCAATACCCCTGCCTCCCCACCTGCCCCTCCCTGCCCAGTTGGGACACATAACTTCTAAATGACAAATGGGGTCTACTCTCTAAAACATGGATGTCGGTGTCTCCTAGTAACTGGGCAATAATCCCCTGCAGGTCTTCCTCCATCTCAACTCTAGTCAGTCTACCCACACATTGTCAGGGAAAAGACTCTCAGCTCGCATTCCCACCTTCCTTCAAAAGCCAAACCATTGAGTGCCTGGGAACTGTTCCCCCCTCCCGCCCCCACAGTGTACATAAGCATCACATATGTTCTTTCTACAAATTGGTATACAGGTGCCATTTAATCAGTTCAAATTTGGAAGCTACATCTTCAAGGGTCCGAGAGAGCTCACTCCCCCCACGTTTCCCCCCTTTACATGTTTTCTTATAAGACATACAGCTTAATCAATTAACAAACTAAACAGCTTATATACTGGCAATATATTACAGATGGGTTTTATGTCAGAGTAATAGATCACATGAAATGGACCAAGTGGTACCCCAGTGCATGATGTCTTGGTAGAGCCCTGAGGACACTGACAGTAGCATCTCTAAGTAAGCAGTGCTGTCTGAATACAGACACATGCGGATCTGTATCTACATCCATCTGACTAGGCCAAAAGGAGCAGGTAGATGCAAGATAGAGACACACACATGCTGGATGGGGCCACTGCACACCTTGTCATGCCATTTGAAAGGGCAGTTACAGGGCGCTGGTGTTGCAGCCATTAAAATCACACTTTATGGAAAAGGCTTCCCTAATTGTGTTTGATTTGCCTTCAGTAGTAAGCATCATTGGAAGAAGATCAAAGCAAGAGCAACTAGAAGTTAAATATGCATCTGGCTTAGCTGCAATAGAACACTCTGGAGAAGAAGCAGGCTGAAAGATTTGTTTCAATTTAGGCTTGGATTCTCTCCCTTGCTGTGTTCATGTCATTGCGTGTCTGCGCTTGTGTGTGTGTGGTTCTGTGTGTGCGGGAGTGTGTGTTCCATCCCATCATCTGCTGAAGAACGCTGGGTTTCGCAGGCAGGCGGCTAGTCACCTGCAACAACCCAGGGGTCCCGCCGAGGCTTCCAGGCTGCTGTCAGTGTCGGACGCCAGGGTCTGGTCGGTGGACATGGAGGAGATGTCGTTGACGGACGAGGATGGAGGGAGACTCTCACTGCTGTTCACTGCTGCACCTGTGCTAAGAAAATGAAGACCAACATGACTAAATCTGGAACTAGACTCAATGTCTCTCAGGATGCAGCACGGGCAAATGCAACAGGGGACGGCTGGTCCATCATTCGTTTGACAAGCCTTCATAGCAAAACTAATACAGGGCACCATGTGGAGGGTGAAAACAAAGACACAACAGCACAAAGTCCCTGGTCACAAGTCACTCACAGAAGAGCGCAGTAGTTGGCAAATCTCACTTTACCTTAGAAATCACCTGTAATGCACTGGAAAGAGAAAAAAAAATAGCACTAAAAACCCCAGTCACTCCCTGCACCTCCAATATAGTAATATAACTGGCCTTGAATGGAGCCAAGCCTTTGCATTTTTTAAAAGCTTCCCAGAAACTGTGTAGTCAAGGAGTGAAGACAGGTGTTCTATGGAGAAGGCAGACAAGCAAAACCCTTTAATGTAATCATCTGAACCTGGATGCTTTTATTGCAGGAAGCTTTTAAAAACAAACACATGTAAGAGTCCTACCCCAGAAATATGGGCTGAGGTGGAGCCCAGAGATCTGAGTTTCTTAGAGACTACAGCTCTAGAGAAAGAAAGGATATTTTGTAACTCTGATGACATAGTCATGAATGTGACATCAAATTTAAAATCCATATAGAAAAACCAAGTAAGACTGTTGATGACAGTTGCCATAGACCAAAAGGGAAAAAATAGGAGAAGCCAGAGCCCATTTCTATTTTTTTAGTTTCCATGTCTCTTCTTTTTTGTTATTATTATTAAAATGAAGGGGGATAAAGGGCCCTAATACAGAGCACACCTTCTAATTGTGTATTTACTTTCCAGCAAGCTTGCTTGCCTGGGAATCTACAAATAAGAACTCTGAATTATTAACTTAGAATAATTTGCAATAAGTCTCTTACTTATCAGCTATGTGGGAATATAATGATTTTGCAGCTCCAAGAAGAAAACTCTTCATGGTAATGTCTCAGTAAATACTTACGAGTTAAAACGGAGAACTATAAGGAAAGATGAGCCAGAGGCGTTATAAGGTATAATTAAACCACAGCATCCTGGAGAGAGTCAATTCACTTTTTCTCTGTATATATTCTATTTTTTTTTTTGCATTTTATTATTCTTTAATTTTTTAAAATTCTCTTTATTTTTGAAAGTATTACAGATATCCTCTTTTTCCCCCACTGACTCCCTCCACCCCACTCAAGCCCCTCTCCAGGCCTTATAATCTTTATACGAAAGCAATATGAGTGGCCTAAGGTATACTTTATGAAAGTTTGCTATTTAAAATACCTGCAGTATAACCATCTAATAAAATAAGAGATGAAGAATTGTCTTCAAAATTGTACTTCATTTGAGCAAATATAGTGTGCTAGATACATTTGGTAAAAGGTAATAAATCCAAAGGAAGTTATAGTAGTATTATTACTTAAATCTAGTAAACCAGAAAAAAATATAGTTGAATGAAGTAGATAAGTCAACACAATCTGATTGCTTCTGAGGTAGACATTTCCTGCCTGTGGAAAAATGTGATTAAAATGTGAAAGTATCTGGAGAGGACCATACATCTAAACCAAGACAGATTGTATGTATTTTAAATTTTTATTTGTTGATTAAATGTATACCGTAAATTATGGGGAATGGGAAAAACTACAGAAAAAAGATAATATTCACTGATCATCATGTTAACGATAGGAACTATTCAAGTTGGTCTATTTCTTTCTTGTCTTTTTTGCTAGGAAGTTTCTCTAATTGCAATTATTTAATATATATTCTTTTGTAACATGATATTTTCATAAACAAAATGTATATTTTCATATACAATATATTTTTCATGTTCTTTAAACTCTTAGAAGTGTCAGTACTTCCTAATGCTAAATGTCTCTAGATTTTTAAGACTCTTATAAATAATTACTCTCTCATTATCAGAACATTGTGTAATGTAAAGTTGTCTGGTTTCAATTTATTCCAACTATACTTAATTATAGCCTCTATAGAGATAGTGCAGAGCTACTTCATTTCCTCTCGTGACATTTACTAGATTTCTCACACTAGCAGACAACCCTTGATTCCCTGACATATCCCAAGTGCCAGGCTCTGTTTTTCCTCCTGATTCTGGATTAAATTACACTAACATCCTCATGTTTTTTCATAAGCTTTGGTCTCTAATAATTTGCATCACTATAATGTACTTGTCAGAACTGTCTCCAAATTTTCCACATCTTTATTAAAGGATAGAGATTAAAACTAGACACAGAACTCTAAGAATGACTCTATCAATTGTGGGCTGACAGAGTGAGATTGCTTTGTTCTTACTGTTCATTCATCTCCTGGGTGATATATCCCTACACAATGATGGCTTTCAAATTATGGTGATATGCTTTAGAAATACATAATGTTGCCCGTATACCTTTCTGCAATAGCTTTATTGAGATATAACTCACAGATTTGTTCAACTTGGTGGTTTTTAGGATATTCACATCATTGGGCAACCATCACCACAATCAATGTGGTAGTGTTTACATCACCCCCAAAGAAAACCCTGTCCTTTGTTTCTTACTTACTCCCCACCCCAAGGCACTATTGAATCTACTTTCTGTCTATATAAAATTACCTATCCTAGATATCCTATATAATAAAAGCGTAATATGCAAATTGACCCTAACAGCAGAACGACTGGGAATGACTGGTCACTATGACACACACTAACCACCGGGGGGAAGACACCCAATGCAGGAAATGCCCCCGGTAGTCAGTGCACTCCCACAGGGAGAGCTCTGTTCAGCCACAAGCCAGGCTTATGGCTGCCAGCACAGCGGTGGTGGTGGGAGCCTATCCTGCCTCTTTAGCAGCACTAAGGATGTCCGACTGCAGCTTAGGCCTGCTCCCTGCTGGCAAGTGGACATCCCTCAAGGGCTCCCGGGCTGCCAGAGGGATGTCTGATTGCCAGCTTAGGCCCAATCCCCCAGGGAGCGGGCCTAAGCCAGCAGGTGGACATCCCCCGATGGGTCCCAGACTGCGAGAGGGCACAGGCCAGGCTGAGGGACCCCCCCCCTGAGTGCACAAATTTTTGCACACTGGGCCTCTAGTCTATATATATAAAAGCCCAAGCGACCAAATGTCCATGTGACAGGTCACTATGATGCATACTGACCACCAGGGGGCAGATGCTCAATGCAGGAGCTGACCCCTGGTGGTCAGTGAGCTCCCACAGTGGGAGTGCTGCTCAGCTGACTGAGGGGCGCCAGATGCAGGGCTCACAGCTGGTGAGCACAGCTGAGGCATGAGCCTCTCCTGCCTCTGCAGCAGCAGGCTACCAAGAGGCAGTGACAGGAGCAGTGGGGCCGGGATGAGCGGGAGCAGGAGCAGTGCCTAGCCCGGGCTCCTCTCTCACCGCCTGCCACTTTAGATTGCAAGAGGGTGCAGACTGGGCCGAGGGACCCCACTGGTGCACGAATTTGTGCACTGGGACTCTAGTATCATATAAATGGATCATACAATCTGTGATCTTTCGTGACTGGCTTCTTTCACAAAACATAATGTTTTCAAGTTTCATTGATGCTGTAGCATGTATCAATACTTCAGTCTTTTTATAACTGAATAATATTCTATTATATGGATGCATCAGATCTGTCTAGTTATTAGCTGATGGACAATTAGGTTGTTTCTACTTTTTTGGCCATTGTGAATAATGCGGCTATCAACAGTCATGTAAAAGTTTTATTCTAAGCATGGAATTATTGGATCATAGGGCAACTCTCTGTTTAACACGAGTGGCTGTACCAGTTTACATTCCCACCAGAAGTGTATGAGGGCTCCAATTCCCCTCTCCCCTTCCAACACTTCTTACCTGCTGTTTTTATTATAGCCATCCAAGAGTATGTGAAATGGTATCTCATTGTGCTTTGATTTGCATTTGCCTAACAGCTAATGATGTTGAGTATATTTTCATGTGCTTGTTATCCATTTGTATATCTTCTTTGGAGAAATGTCTATTTAGATCTTTTGGCCATTTTTAAATTGTTTTTTTTTCTTTTTATTATTGAGTGTGAAAATTCTTTATATATTGTCAATACGAGTCCTTTATTATGTATTTTTCACTTTCTTGATGGTGTTCTTTGAAGCACAGATATTTTTAATTTTGATGAAGTTGGATTTATCTATTTTTTCCCTTTTGTTAGGTGTGCTTTTAGCCATATATAAAACACACACACACACACACACCAAAAAACAAACAAAAAAACATTTCCTGATTTGCTCCTATATTTTCTTACTCCTATCTCCCATATTTTAGCTCTTACACTTAAGTCTATGATCCATTTTGAGTTTATTTTTGTATATGATATGAAGTAGGTGTCTACCTTCATTCTTTTGTATGTGGCTAGCTAGTAGTCCAACACTGACTATCTCTTGCCCTAGTAGTGTACTCAATGGTTAGAGTGTTGGTCCAAGCACTGCAGGGTCCCAGGTTCAATTCCTGGTTAAGGGCATGGATCTGGGTTGCAGGTTTGATCCCCGCCTGGGTTAGGGCACATGCAGGAGGCAACGAATTAATGTGTCTCTCTCACAATGATGTTTCTCTCTTTCTCTCCCCTTCTCTCTCTCACCCCACTCCCTTCCACTCTCTCTAAAAAATTAACGTAAGAAATATCCTCAGGTGAGGATTAACAAAAAAAAAAAAGAAAAAAAGAAAAAAGACTATTTCTTGTCCATGAAATTGCCTTGCTATCCTTGCTAAAAATCAATTAACTATAAATGCAAGGGTTTATTTCTGGACTCTCAATTCTATTTTATTGATCTACATAGGATTCTCATGCAAATACCACACTGTCTTGAATACTGCAGTTTTGAAACCAGGAGGTGTGAATCATACAACTGTGTTCTTTTTTGAGATAATTTTAGCTTTTCTGTGTCTCATGCATGTGAATTTAAGAATAGAAAAAAAAATTCTGTCAATTTCTGAAAAAAAAAAGGGCAGTTATAATCTTTATAGGTATTG